AAATTATATAAAGAGACTTTGAATATCAAACTAACTTTATATTTCTGATCGACTCCATTTGGTCATGATCTATTGCTCTTTAAATGTGCTGCTAGATTCTGTTTCCTGATCTTTTATTTAAATTTTTTGTATCAATATTCATAAGGGAGAATATTAGTCTGTAGTTTTCCTTTTTTGTGTAATTGTCAGGTGTTGGTGTCAAAATACTTGCTTCATAAAATAACTTGGCCCCATTCTTCCTCTGTATTCTGTAACAATTTAAGTAGTAGTAGAATTATAAGTTCTTTGAAAGGTTTAATGACATTCTCCTATCAATCTGAGCCTGATGTTTTTCTGGGACTGCAACTCAGAAAACTTTTTAAACTTTTTTCCTTCTGTGGTAATTTATTTAGATTCTCTCTCTCCTGCAATCTCTTTTTAGTAAATTACTTTCTAAAATTAGTATTTGCAGCTAAGTTTTCAATTTCTTTGCACTTAGTTGAGCAAAGAACCCCCTTATAATCCTACTAGAGGTCCCTCGGCCTGGCCTGAGGAATCAGGCCGAAAACCAGCTCTCCGACATCTCCCAAGGGGTCCCAGATTGTGAGGGTGCAGGCCAGGCCGAGGGACCCAACCAGTGCGTGATTGGGGCCGGGGAAGGACGCTGGAGGTTGGCTAGCTGGGGAGGGACTGTGGGAGGGCTCCAGGGTGTGTCCAGCCAGTCTCGCTCTGTCCCTATTGGCCAGACTCCAGCAGCAAGCTAATCTACTGGTCAGAGCGTCTTCCCCCTGGTGGTCAGTGCACGTCATAGCGAGCAGTTGAGCGGCCTTAGCATGTCATTAGCATATTACACTTTGATTGGTTGAATGATGAACACCAGACACTTAGCATATTAGGCTTTTATTATATAGGATTAATTCCTGTGCATCTGGACACTTTTGCCTACTCCTTAAATAGGTCAGCAAATGGGCTTATCTAATTGACAGCTGTTTTTCACCCAAACCATCAACTCTTAACGTTTACTAGTTCTATTTTTCTGTTTTCTAAATTATTTTTACCTTCTTTCCTTCTGCTTTTGTTCAGTTTTTTCTTTTTTCTAACTTTTTTTTTTAAATATATTTTATTGATTTTTTTACAGAGAGGAAGGAAGAGGGATAGAGAGTTAGAAACATCGATGAGAGAGAAACATCGATCAGCTGCCTCCTACACACCCCCTACTGGGGATGTGCCCGCAACCAAGATACATGCCCTTGACCGGAATCGAACCTGGGACCATTCAGTCCGCAGGCTGACGCTCTATCCACTGAGCCAAACCGGTTATGGCTTTTTCTAACTTCTTACGTTGGATGCTTAATGTACTTACTTCCATCTTTTTTATTAATATAATTCTGTGATTCTAAATATTCTATATTATTCTATTTTTTTTCATTGAACGGTTCCAGCTATAATCCTAAAAATATATGGTATTTTCATTATTATTTTTAGATATACTGCAGTTTCAGTTTAAATTTTCCCTTTGACTTAAAAGTTTTTTTAAATTTTTTAAATGTTCAAGCAGTAGTATTTTTTTTCATTTCTATTTTTATTGCATGTGTGATCAGAGAAAGTTGACAATACTATTTTACTGTTTAAAATTGATTAAGGTTTTTTAGGTGGTCTAATACAGCGGTCACCAATCTTTCAGACCTCATGGACCACCAGTGGTCCACAGACCACCGGTTGGCGACCACTGGTCTAATATATGGTTAACTCTTAAGAATCTCCTATGGATACTCAAAAAGATGTCTTTGCTCTGCTTTCAGTGTTCAGAGTTTGATATGTACCAATCAGATTTACCTTATAACATGTTACTTAAGTCTTCTATATTTTTAGTTATCTTTTATCTACTTCATCTGTTACAGAGTAAGAAAGATGAGTTAAAACCTTTTCCATTAGTTATTTTCTGACTATTATTCCTTGTTAAATCCTGAAGTTTCATGTTGTGATTGTGGATGTAATGTTATTTGGAGCATAAATATTCACAACACTAATATCTTCATTTTGAGTCACATCCTTTATCATTATGATATGCCAGAAAAATCACTGACCAGCAGGACATTGAAAATGGTTTCCCTCAACCCCAGGCTCTGTCCATGCAGCACTGTGCACAGGCAGCACCAGCACATGGGCCTGCCTCTACCTGTGCTGCAACATCTTCTGGGCCCATTCAGCACCAAGTAAGCAAGTGGAAGCCAAGCAAGTAAGTTCTTCTGCAAGTACCAGGGAAGGGGATAATAAATTGTGCCATGCATGGGCTAGAGGAGAAGCTGGATTCAGAACTTTCCTGGTTAGAAACTGATCAGACAGCTTTTGCTCTATGGCCCTCTGGTCAGTTTGTAAATAGTGGTTTATGAATATCACCTATTAATAATTGTTTTTTCATATAATGCACTTAATTGGGCACATAGTTTGTGGTTAAGTGATAAAAGACCTGAAGGGTTCAATGTAAGTTCAAAGCTCCAGAGTTAATGTAAATATGCAAGCACTCATTAGAAAGAAAACATAGTAACCCCTTTCAGCGTCTTTATGAACCACATTGGGAAGATAAATAATTCAAAAAATAAGTAAGAGGGGAACTTAAAATTTAGATTCCCTTCGTATTAATTATTCCCTCACAAAGGGAATCACAATGTTTGTTTTAAATATGTTTTTATTTATCTTAGAGAGAGAGGAAGAGAGAAACATTGATGTGAGAAATATGAATCAGCTGCCTCCTGCATGCACCCTGACCAGGGATGGAACCCGCAACCCAGGCATGTGCCCTGACTGGAAATCGACCCCTTCAGGGCACAGGTTGACGTTCAACCAACCGAGCCACTTTGGGAAAGGCCACAATGTTTATTACACAACCTGGGTGATGTAGAACGCTCCAGTGCGACGCAATGTCAACTTGTGAGTAAGTTACAGCATCACTACCTAGCACTGCAGTTCCTTTTGCAACTCAGATGCTTCTCATTAAAGTCATTGTCAGAGTCAAGTTGACAAGATTTGATGTGCACAGTGGCTTGGATGACTCTGGTATTGGACTGGAAACATTATTCAGTAGGATATTTAAACCAGCGGTCACCAACCTTTTGGGCCTCACGGACCACCAGTTGGCGACCGCTGATTTAAACATATCCTCTAAAAAAAAGATCACACACTATGATCTCATTGTACTGCACTTCAGTCTTTCTATTCATGGTCTAAAAATGGTGGTAGCTATTCAGATTTGGAGTCTTTAAAAGAGATTCAGCAGAAGCCTATTCAGCCCTAGGTGGGGGCATGTTCACAGTATATGGTGAATGGGTGTGTTTACCCAAATTTGATCTCAACTTTTTTAAATCCTCACCTGAGGATATTTTTCCATTTAGACTAAATTTTAGAGAGAGTGAAAGGGAGGGAAGAGGGGGAAGAGAAAAACATCAATGTGAGAGAGATACATCAATTAGTTGCCTCCTGCACATGCCCAACCAGAAGTGGGGAGGGAATCACAACCCAGGTACCTGTCCTTGACTGGGAATCAAACCCACAACCCCTCAGTGTGCAGACCCATGTTCTAACCACTGAACACACCAGCCAGGGCTAATCTCAATTTTGAAAATACTGTTATTATTTTGCATTGTTAGTGAACTGGGTATTTCCCCCCTATATAATGATTCTACTTACAAAGTGATTGTCAGTATGTATTTTAAAAGATTCTTGGTTTTAATTTTGTTAAAACTGAAGTATTTATTTTATGCTTCAAGTATAGCATGAATTTTTTTTTAAAAAATAGCCTATTCTTAACATAAAATTGCCTATGTGGGATCCTACAACTGTTTAACCTTAGGATTTTATCATCTTAAAACACTGAGCCCCTGCTTCCCTGCCTGAGCTCAACTGATACAAGCCCTATCCCAGTTCCAACACACGCCATCATCATCATTATTATATGTTGCTACAGTTGTAATAATACATTTACCTTTGCAATTAAAATAACTGAGCCATTGAAGTGTTTGCTGCTCTGTGCAAAATGCCAATTTAAATTAAATCCCAACAAGAAAAAAATAAATTCATTGCTTACCACCAGTCCTTTTACTACAGTTTTTTTTCCAGTCACTGCTTGGTTGTCTTCTGGCATCTCTTCAAGAAAGGCTTCGGAAGAATATAAAATTCATGAGCCATACCTTCTTTCCTTGAAGCTTTGCTCCCATCTTCTAGAGGTGAATGTTAATGTTAAGAAATCAGACGCCAACCTCATTATTTTTATTCTTAGAAGTAGCCCGATCTTTTTGGTGCAACTGTCCAAAGGATTCTTTTTTCTTTGACTTCCGGTAACTTCACTAGGAAGTTAGTGTTGCTTCTCCTATATCATTTTTTTACTGAGACATGGCATATCCTCTCAATCTGAAGATTCAGATCTTTTCATCTTTGGAAAATCTTCCCTGAATCACACCTTTAAATATTCCTTTTGTGCCATTATATTGGTTTTCTTCTTTGTTAACTCCAATTATGTTGCCTTGCCTTATCTTTCACTACTGCCATTTCTCTCTAGTCCTTTTTATCCTTTTACTTTCTTGTTATTTGCTCCCCCCCCCACTCCTCTTTGCCTATCTCATCTTGTTTTCAGCAACATCTATTCTTTCTTATGCTGTATCCAATTTTGTCTTCATTTTATGTGATTTTTAAATCTTTTATTCCATTTCTTTCCTCAGCTCTGCAGCTTACATTTCATCTTCTGATGTCTTGCCATGTGCCTGAACTTATGTCTAAAAGGCAATGGTTTTATTTTTGTGCTCTTATTTTATAAAGGCAATTGCTTCATATTTTTATTCATGGAAAAATAATTATAATTTCCATATGCTCCATGCAAGAATTTTTAACTTTGAAGTAAGGATTCTTTATCTGCCTTTCATTTTTCCTGTTCCTTCCACCTTTTTTTCTTTTAGTATTTTAGTGCAGATCTCATGCTGGTTTCTTCTGAGCAGCCCAGCTTTGAATTAGCTGAGGTTTCACTACCAGTTATTTATACAAAGTTTATATAAGAGAATTAAATATGCATCCCAAGTAAAAGAATTTTCCTTATGACACAGGGTGTGTATGAGTCCTTTTAATCTTTGTTTCTCCCTAGGCAAAAGATATGTAGCCCTGAATACCACCCCCCGCCATTTAGACTGCTCGATGCAAATATGCTTGATTCTTTCATCAGTCTTCCATCCACTGCCTCTTAGGACTAAAACAGGTTGAGATAATGTCCTATCACCGCCTGGGCATCCTTTCCTTATTGATGAAACAAGGATTTTGGTCTGGTGCCTCAGGTACGCTACTCACCTTGGAGGAAGGCACTGTGCTGGTTCTTTTGGAATCCATACGCCTCACAGATAAATCTCTCCACACTTCCTCCAACACCCCTGCATGATCTCCAGTGCTTCTCACAGCCACTGCACTGTGTGTGGTTTATGGTTTCAGATACCTTAGATCTTTTCTTAAAAATGGAGTTTACGTTTCTTTATTCCATTTTCCTTGTTGCTTCAAAGTGGTTTCACAGTCGAGAAGAGTAGAATGTCAAGTATGCTCTGCTACGTTCAGTCTGGAAGTTCTCAGTAGGACTAACTTTTTATTTACAGCCAAGGCTACTGTCACCTTTTGATTCTCAAAGCCCTAGCACGTGAATCTTCTCTCCCATATATGCTGTCTACGTGCTAGTTAGTAGCACTTTAGCCTAAAAAGGGTAACAGCTTCCTTAAGGTCTCAGAGCTGGTTAGAACCCAGGCCTTGATTCCTGGTCCATGTTCTCATGACACTGCACATCAATGCATGTGTTTGGCCACTAAACTCCACTGACCTTCCTTCTAGGCCTACTTATAATCAGAAGCTGACCTCTAAGAATTATGCCGAGGAAAGATTGAGAAATCATATAATTGACAAATATCAGGGGTAAAGAGGTTTTAAAAATAAAACAACTTAGTTCCCATTACCTGGCTTAGTATCTGTCACTCCTTCCATAAGAACCAGTCCTACTGGTCGCTGACAGGCAATACTGCAGAAGCGGAAACGTAGCAGGAAGTCTCGGCTATATTTACGTCTCTCTGTAAACCAGGAAAAGCCACAGGGTAAAAGAAAAGAAGAGGAGCCACATGTTGAGCCCTCCTTAATATCAAGAAGCTCCCAGCAACGGGACAGGGGAAATCTGGCTCAGAAGACAAGGAGATGTTCCAACAGCTACGACTTGAAGTTGTAGAACCATTGGGTGACCATGAGGACAGTGAGAAAAACAAAGACCTTGCTAAGACAATTAGGCTTTCCTGTCATGGAGGTGCCAGCTCTCTCCCAAAACGGGCATGAAGGCACAGCCACCAAGAACATGGCGCATGCTCACCTGATCTCTTGGGATGACAGGAGGTGACATACTGACAGCCATCAGTGATGCCCAGGGCACTGGGCCATAGTGGGGCCTGCAGCTTCCTCTGGTAAAGCTGATGGGAGAAGTCTTCCTGTCCAGACACCTACAAGGAAAGAGCAGGTGGGAATGAGGAAACCAAGATGGTAAAAGGAAACAGCCCATTTGGGGGACATGCAGACAAACATACACACACACATTCATATGCTACATACACAATATAAGCAAAACATAAGTCTTAGGGGAAGGTTAAAAATAAGGAGCTAATTAAAACCTTTTTTTTTTTTTTTACTAGAAACACTGAAATGTCCATGAGACAGGAATGAGGGCTAAGAGAATGAGGTGTGTGAGTGAAAGAGAATAGAACTGTATGAACATGTGATCCCCTAACTTTTACCTCAGAAAAATCTTCACAATTCTCCACAGAGAATATCAACTTTCGGCGGCTTTACTGTGCAAGGGGAAAAGGTTTATCCTGATCTTTGGATCTTCTGGATCAAGGTCTAGCATCGTAAGCCTATTATTGGGAAACCACAGGGTTGAGCCAAGTGATACATGCACCAAAGCGCTTTATTTACGTCACCATCCTCAGTCAAAGCCTGGGGACGGGCAGAAGGTAGTAGGGGAAACACTCGGCAACGTCAGCCATTTGCATGTCTCCAACGGGTGTAGCAAAATTCCCTTTATTTCATTTAACAACAAATATGTGAATGCCAACTATGTGCAGGACACGAGCTAAGTGCTAGGAGGAAAGCAGTGATAGGCACAATCTCTCTGCCCTTCAAGGACATTAATTTCCGATATGCCACCTGAAGTAAAACAGGCCTGGAATTTAATGGCTGTGTGACTTTGGGCAAGTTAGCCAACTCTCTTGGGTTCAATATCCTGTACTATAAAATGGGATAATGATACCACACGTAATTAAGGGTTGATAATAATGATCACTACCACAGTATGGCTGCTTCCTTTGAAGTAGGCACTGGAAAACACTTCATGTGCATTATTTTATTTAACCCATCAAACAAACAAACAAACACCTCTGGAGTAGGTCCCATTACATCCCCAATGTCTGGATCAGGCAAATAGGGCTTTCGGAAGTTAAGAAACTTGACCAAGGTGGGAGAGCGGGGATTCAAAATGAGTGCTCTGAATCACCACACCTAACCGTGCCACACCAGGGGGCACTTAGTAAATTCTTCGCCTGTTTCCTGAGCTCCTTGATCACCGCAACCTTCTGGCAGGATAATGCCTTTCACACATGGCAACCAAGACACCGCTGGCACCTGAGTAACCTCATTAAAATAAAAGCCCAAAATGCTCAATAATAATTCAGTCGTTTTGTGTCCTTTCTCCACTGTGCCTTGCCAGAAGCTAAGTAATAAGGTGGATGGACCAGTCGAAGCAAAACAGAGGAACAGGGAGATGAAGTGACATTAAAAATTAGCTAAAAAATTAGCACAAGCTGAATGCCCATGAGCACAGCTAAATAAACTATGATAAACTATGAGATATCTGTGCTATCAACATTCAGCCATTAAGAGGAATAAGACAGATCCAGAGAGACCAAGATGGCGGCATAGGAAAACACCGGAAATTGCTGCCTCCGACAACAACTTCAAAAATACAACTAAAAGACAGAACGGTCATCATCCAGAACCACAGGAAGGCTGGCTGAGTGGAAATTCTACAACTAGAAGGAAAGAGAAGAGCACACAGACTCAGAGGAGCTACGAAAGTAAAGTGCAGAGGTACGGAGGCTCCGGCGCGCGCGGAAAGGGGCGGGCACCTGAGGACGC